CCCCCCCGCCACACACACTCCCTTGTCTCCCTGGCAGGACTTCCAGACACGAGGTCCAGCCTTTCCCCAGCTGCAGCCCTGGTTGGTGAATGGGGGGTTGGAGGAGCCCAGGGAGGAAGGGGGGGCCCACCTGGGCTGAACGCCTGTCAGGGGACGTTAGTGTGACTAAGGATGCTCCTGGGTGCTCAAGGATTTTGCCCCTTTTAATTTATGAACAGTGACCTCAGCTCTCAAGGTCACTCAGCTGTAAGTGAGCAAGGCCAGCTGTGAACAGATGACTCAGAATCATTCCCCTTCACCTTCGCTCAGCCCTTGGCGCTGACCGTCGGAGGCCTCGTCCTGGGTTGGGCTCTCCCAGCCGGCTCACGTCCTGAGCCCAATCCTCTGGGTGTCTTCCTCTGCCTGCTTTAATCCCCAGCCCTCCCTCCCAAGGGCAGAGTCACTGACCCCATCTTCAGTGGAGGAGGCTGAGGCCTGAGAAGCGCCACACATGCTGGCCTGTCACAGGGCCGTGAGGTGGCCCCGCCGTGGGTTCGAGCCCAGGCCATTCTTGCCCCAACGGCTGTGCTTCCACTGGAGCCTGTGGAGGTGGCCTCTCAGCCCGGCATGGGGGCTGTGGGGAGGGATGCTGCAGGCAGGGGCTCTGAGGCGGAGGGCGTGTGGGGTCCCTGGGGGAGCAAGGCTGTGGGAGGCTGGGATGGAGGGGTGAGGGGTGCTCCCTGGGAAGGGCGTCTGGACCAGACCGCACGGGGCTCTGAGTGCGGGGCAAGAAGTCGGGGGTCACCACAGGCTGGGGTCGCAGGGCACACGGTTTCCGGATGATTTTGTCAGAGCCACAGCACCTCAGCTGGGAGGAGCTTAGCGGGGGTGTTATTTACCCACCACTCAAGCGTGCACCCCTGTGATACCACAGGGGACGGGGTCTGCCCCTCCTCTGCACCGAGCGGGCTGTGGTGGTTGTCTGCCTCCTCCCAGGGCCTGCCTAGAAGGCAGTACTGAGGGCTCCCAGCCATAGTCCCATTTGATCGTCACCCCAGGGCCTCAGGATGGTGGAGTGGCCTGCCCAGCATCTCACGTGTGCTAGGACAGACTAAAACCCGTGTTCTCTCAACTGCCTCCCATTCATGCAGTCATTCAACAAACATTCAAAGAATGCCTCCTGGGTTTCAGGTACCAGGGTAAACCTGGTTGACCACCACCTGTATCCTCTTGGGGTTTACCAACTGGGAAAGGGGTGGAGATGGGCAGAACATTGTAACGGATGACATAGGGATGAGAATTTATGGGACCACCGAAAGGCACCCACTCTGGAAGGAAGGGGGGAACAAATCAAGGCAGGCTTCCTGGAGGAGGTGATGTCATGACTATGTTCCTGGAATTGGGCCAGGTGACTGGACAGGGAGGGCTGACCAGTAGGCAGCGTGAACAAAGGTATGCTGGTCCTGGCCCTGGGGCAGAGCAGTGATGTTGGACTGTAAGGCGTGGGGAGGAGGTAGTTGGTCATGAGGAGACAGGAAGCTTACATTTCAGGGGCCTCCATTGCAGGGGACACCGCAGACATTTTGTATTTGTTATTCTGTCGATTTCTATCTCTGGTACTCCCCCTCTCTCTGCTGGGTCAGGCCTATCTCCCGCCACCCCTCCCACTCCTGCCAGGCCCCGTACTTCTTCCTACCCACAGATCAGCTCTGGCTCCAAGCCCTCAGCTCTCTGGGAGAGTAGCCTGGACCCTGTTTTAGGTCTAGGAGTTGGGTAGTCGCTCACTCAACTGTGTCGGAGGGCCATGCCTGGGATGTGGTCTGAGGCAGCCATAGTGCCTGGTGGCTTGGGCCGAGGCTGAGAAGGGCCCACCAGCAGGACCCAGAGCTGGGCTGGAGCGAGCAAGGGTTCATTTCTCTCCTGCGACGCTGCCTGGGCTCAGGGCCACCTCCTTCTCCTCTGGTCTCCATGTCAAGGGCCTTCTCCCGGCTCCAGCACAGAAGCTCGGTGAAGGCAGGGCCTGCACCTTCAACACCGCCAGCTCCGTACATGCCCCGGGGCAGGGCTGGGCACCCTGGGAAGGTGCGGACACATGGGCCACGAATCCACCCTTGTCCCTCTGCCCGGGGAGCACCCCAGGGCCTCTCCCTGGCTCAGGCTATCTCCCCACGTGGTCACTCAGCCTGCCCGTGCTCTCGCAGTCCGTCCTGGCTTGCCACTCAAGCACAGGCTGCAGGAAGAGGCTTGGGGCTGGCCCCAGCTTTGCCCAGGGTGCCCAGGTGGGTGGGTTCCTGCTCCTCCTACTTGCCCACAGACCACACCCCCTGCCCTCTACCTTATGTGGCAAGGATGCTGCTGCCCCCAGGGGAGTGCATGCTGGGCCCCCCGCCCCCCACTTCTGTCCCACCAGGCAGATGGGACCACCCCAGGGCTCTGAAGCCCCTCTAATCCTGGGCTTGCCTTGTAGCCTTAGTGTCCGCGCCCACCAGGAGTCCCCCGGGCTGAGGCTGATGGCAGATGCAGCAGATACGTGTGCTCTGCACGCAGAGACCAGGAGCCCACAGGGCATCCAGCTGGGGGAC